TGAGTAGAATAGAGTCTAGGCACTATGGGTGGAAGGACCCATGAGTTCAACACCACATACCTTGAGTTCTTATGAAGGTCTTGAGAGTGTCTTCAATGGAAGCTTGCAACTTGGAGCAAGAGTCTCTTCAATCTTGAGGAAGGTTTTGGATTAGGGTTCTTGAGAGAACTTGAGAGAAAATGTGTCTAAGTATGGGAGAGGTGTTTTGGAAATGTTTTAGAGATGAAATTTGAACTAATGCTATATAGGAAATAACATATGCCCTTTGGAAGAAAAATTCGTCCAACACTTTGGAAAAAAAAAAGGGGGCGGGTGAACAGTAAAAAAGGCTAGTGGAAATTGCATTCTCTGCCGGACAGACTTTATGAAAATAGGCATAACTTCTTCGTCCGAACTCCGAATGAGGTGAAACAAAGTGCGTTAGGTAGCTAACTCAAAGGGCTTTCCATGAATATGTTATTGGCCACCAAATAATTTGTGTGCTAGGAGATATGACACTCCAAAGTAGACCCTCGAAAAGGCTTCACTTGGAAATTTCGGATTTTGATACGGTTGCTCTAAAATTTGGGTTAGACCCATTTCCCACTCAATTTGACCCCCTAAACAAAATTATGAAGTCGGATTTTCAAAAAACGAAACGGATCTTTTTATAAGTAGCTAAACAAGTTTCCGGTAACTTCCGAAGCACATTTTAAAGAACTTTTTGGGTCATTTCAATATCTCCCCCTTGGGAACATTCGTCCCCGAATGTGGGCCTCTTTCTCTGTCCTTTTTCTCTTCCTCATCTTCTTCTTTTTATTTTTCTTCTTTTCGCCTCTTTCTGTGCTATTCTCTCTCTTCCTCCTCTTTTTTTTTTATTCTTCTTCCTCTTCTTTTTAAAATTTTCATTTAAATAATTATTCTCAAATCAATTTTTATCCATATTTCACTATTTTTATCCAAAAACACGACGAGAAGAGAAATAAAAAAAAATATTTTTTTACAATATCATATTCTCAAACAAAAATTTCAAATCTCTAAAATTACAGCAGCAAGAATTCACCATTGATGGTCACTATAAAGCTTCAAATTTTGAATTCATTTTTTGAATCTTACGAACTTGTGATTAGTTTGGATAGGTTGATCCTACAAATAATTGAAAATGCAGTTTAAAGTTTATATCTCAATTTTAAGAGGGTTCAGTTAAGTTTATAATTGATTTTAGGAGAAATATAAGATTGAAACTCAAAAAAGATAAAGTTTATGGAACTATATCGCAATTGTATTAAAGTTGAATTAGATATGTTTTATAATTGTATTAAAATCATGAACAGTACATTTATAATACATATTGCAAACTTTACTCTCTTCTTAGTGATACCAACCAAATGATTTAGGTAACACACTTAATAATACATTTATAATACATGCACACTACATTTTAAATATATATTGCAAACATCACTCATGTTGTTAGTGATACAAACCAAAATAATTTATAACACATATAATACATGTTTTATATCATGAATAATACAAGTTTAATTCAATCTATAGATTATTGTCTTGTCTTTCGTTAGTTACATTTTTCATTCATTCTTAATTTTCTCTTCTAATTCAACTTTAATATCGTGTAATACAATTTTAAAGCAAATTTAATTTATTTACTTGTTTAATATTTGTGTAATACACTTTTCAATACAATTTTAATTCATTTTGTAATTTATTGATTTGTTACGATTGAATTACTTGTGAAATTCATTGTTGATACAAATTCATTCAGTTTACATAGAATGCTATTTGGTTTGCTACATTTTGCATTCATATTTAATTCTCTACTAATTCAACTTTAATATTTGTGGAATACATTTTTAATGTAAATTTAATTCATTTTGCAATTTATTATGTCTCTTCATTTGTTACGATTAGATTACTTGTCTAATTAATTAATTATTGATACAAATTTTATTTAGTCTACGAATCATTAACTACTCTACAAAAGAAAATAGAGAGAGAGAAAGGGAAAAAAAGTAAGTGAAAGAGCAACAAAAAAAAAGCAGCAAAAAGAAAAACAAAAGAGAAAGAACAACATAAAGAAAAAAAAGGGAGAAAGAGCGAGAGAGAAAAGGGAGAAAGAGGCAAGAGAGAGAGACAAATCTAATAAAATATATAGTATTGTTATATATTGCTATAAATGGTAATAATTAAAGAGTCTATTTAAAATAAGTAATTATTTTTTAAAAGGGATCCACTCAAGCAATTATCCCTTATCTATTAGGAGTGTCACTCGCACTATATATCTCTTTTATATGCTTTTCCCATTTAATCGTACATACATTTTTAGTAAATTTTTCCGGTAGTGTTACGTGACACCCCATAAACCTTCTTAAATCCTCCTCTGACGGTATGGTAAATCAGTAACCATAATTTGTTTAACTTCGACTAATATATACTTGTATAATAGAGTATTATGACTTTGACAATTAAAAAAGGACTCAATGGTATCATACTAAAACATTACACATCTAGAAATATATATGCAAAATAAAGTACAAGCAACTCATTTTGTTAATCAATTACAATATAAATACATTTCAATCGAAATAGAGTAGTTGAAGTTTCAACTTCTAAACATTTAGTTTATATTAATACTAGGTTGTATATTTGTTAGTATTTTAATAATAATATATATGTTATTTATGTAACTATATATATTTCGGTATGGTATTCGGTGTTTCGGTATGCTATTACTAAATGCCAAATACCGTATCGAATACCAAAAAAAATTAAAAGATATAACATATACCATACCAAATACCATAATACCCCACAGTATTAAGATTTTTGGTATGGTATGGTATGGTAATTCGGTATATATCGTACCATGCCCACCCCTAGCTGGGATAAATTTTTTCAAGTCCATTTAAAACTAGGGCGTATAAGCCCAACCTATATAAGTCATTGGCCCTTGAGGCTTGATCGGTGCCGACCGAGGTCGGTCCATGGGCCAAAACTATTTATTTAAGGGTAATTTACAACAATCTCACTGTTATATGAGCTAATTACTTAAATGCACGCTATGTTGTAATATTACAAATCTTACCAGATTTTGGTACGCCTAGATACATGTATCTCGGGATACATGGACTTAAAATTAAGTTAATTTGTTCTGAATACACTCTATCCAAGTGGATTCATATGTATATAGGATATATACATAAACAAAGTCCGCGCCCTCGCCTCTCTCCCATCTCGCTCACCACTCTCTTATCTCACTCGTGTATCTGGGATGCATCATACCATATACATGTATCACGTGTGTCTAGTATCCTAGATACATGCTATCATACTAGATTTTTTGCTAGTGTTATTGAAACAACACCATTGTTTGTCATATTTGATTTGAAAATCTTCTCATTTTCTTGATGTTATAGAAATTTTAAGTTTGAAAAGAAAAAAAAAAGGGCTAGCTCAACCCAGCCCTTGGCCCTTCTCAGGTAGGGTTGGGTTGAACATTTTCAGGCCCTTCCATATCATGAAGGGACGGCCCGCCCTAGCCCATCAAATTTCTTGGCCCGCGAAGTTTGAGCCGGGTGGGGCTGGGCTGAGTTAGTTCCTAAAGTTAGAATCTTTAAACATGGCCTTTTCTTGTAGTAAATACGATCGCGAAGTAATTTGTATCTTTTTGTGGTGGGATCATATCCCAGATACAAACGTGGAAAATTCCAATCTCTTTTATATCCAAGCGAGAATGGAAAGGCTTTTATTTCTCTTGTTGTGATGTTATACAGACCATTGCAATGATTTGAGCAAATATGAATCTCCGTGTGGTGGTGGAAATAAGTACGAGGACTCACAAGTTGTGCTGGTGGAATTAAAAAAGGTATTTTTATACCTACTTCAAATAAGAGGTGGATGGCTAGGGGACGGTATATATCTAGAATGAGCAATGTGCAAATTGACAAAGTTAAGATCATATCGTATCAAGCTAGAAACACAGTTAAATCTCATAAGAGACTTAGCTGGTAGCCACGTTAGTATCTCGAATACCATGTCATCTACGAAACCATGTGCTTCCTTAGTACTCCTTCGACATCGTCTTTGTGTATGCTTTTCACCTTCCATGTTAACGTAGCTATCTGCATGGAAAAGAGAAAACAAGAGGAGTAAAATATTAAATTAACCTACTCCCTCCGTTTCATAAAGAATGACCTACTTTGACTTGGCACGGAGTTTAAGTAAATAAAGAAGACTTTTGAATCTTGTGGTCCTAAATTAAAGTTATGTCAAATGTACAAAATTACCCTTAATCTTGTGGTCTTAAACATGCCACGTGGAAAGCAAAAAGTAAAATGTTACCAAAAAAGGAAAAATGTCATTCTTTTTTAAACTGACTAAAAAGGAAAGGAGGTTATTCTTTGTGAAACGGATCGTATTACCTAACAAATTAAGGTCACTTCGTACCGTAATCGTATTTGTATGTGTATTTTCTTATTCTTTAAGGATACGTACTACTTCTCCATCCTTAGCTAACAAAGGAAAATATTCTAAAAAATATATATCCAAGTTATATAAACATTATTGAGTAAATAAAAGTGCACCGACATTAATTAAAATCATTTATAACTAACTGAATAATTTTCAATTGGTGTAAATAAAACACACTATTCCTCTTTTAATCCCTTTTGTAGTAAGTTTATGTGGTTAGTTAGTAAACATTTGGGAGGCTAACGATCAAATGTTTCCTTGATTAGGAGGGCAAATTGCAAAGAGCTCAGTTGAAAACAAGTTAATACTCTTCTTTACCAAGGGAATACTTTGCGCAACTTCTTTTTTTCTTTTTAATTTACTGTATGAGCATGCAATTTTTTAGTTTGGTATCCATTTTAAGGCTTACTTTAATTAGCAAACATATTATATTATTGTTTTCCTTTTTAGGAAGTTCGCCGATATAATTTGCTAGAAAAATGAAATGTGATAGTTCATGTTAGATAATAGTAATAAATATGGACATCGTGACACTGCCACTCAAAAAGTTTTATTGATTCACTTTCAGCAACAAATTAAAGCAACTGTTAAGCATAGATGATTCTATCAAGCAAGCATAACAGGCATCAGATAGGCTGATTGACACCTAAGTTGCTCCAAAAATGTTGCCGCACCCGTGATGGATCCTTCAAATCCGACACGCACCTATCGAAGAGTCTGAGCAACATAGATTGACACTATACTAACTCAGTACATTTATAGTGGGACTTGTTTAGATGTCTCTTCTTTTCTATAGCTTATATCAGTTGCAAAGAAAATATGCAAGTTTGCCAAAAAGAAGGTAATATGGAGCAGTCTTTAAGCAAGAGCTACAAATCATGCCATGAATGATCTCCAAGAACTCAAGCCGTAACAGCTCCAGCAGTCGTACAATTCGCGTGCCCCTATTGGCTAGGATCCGAAAGGACAGCTGCCTATATGTTTCTGAGCATCTGCAAAAAATCATCAAATAGAGACTTAATGGAGGAACAGATGCAAAATTCACTAGTTTGAAATGAACTTCAGACAAATACGAGCAATTCTAGTAAGTCAAAACTGGAACAAAGAACTGATAGTACTAAAGTTGAAGGTAACAGAACAATATAAGGGATATGATACCATAACCGAAAACCAGAAAAACACAGAAGAACATTCGGTACCTGTTAACTTTTCTTACAGATGCCGAAGTCCTCTGTCTTTTCTCCACACAAAATGTGTTTCGTCGGAGGACATAATTTCCCTATGACCTCATCTATCAAGTCCATATAACTGCATAGTCAGTGCAATTACAAACCTTTCAATCCAAAAAAATTGAAGTCAGGAATGAGTTATTAAATAGGTTCACATACCTTATAAAATCAAGTTACAACTTCTACGAACTTCTCTCGTAACATCACATGAACCAAGAAGCTCACATATTGCAGCAGAGCACAATAATCATCTTGAATTGGTTTCTCGTACACTTAACCACACATGAACCAAGAAGTTCATATATTGCAGCAGAGCACAATAATCATCCTGAATTGGTGTCTCGTACACTTAGCCACAATTAGAGTCAGTATCTAACCCACACTTAATCATCAAAGAGGCCAACTGGAACACAGAATTGTGATCACGGAAACTGTTAAGCATAACAAAACAAATCTGTGAATCAACAGATATGCCATGAAACAACATCATACGCAGAAAAATATCTACGCCAGCTAGTAAGTTTCTTTTGCACAACCTATTAATCACAGCACTATAATCTCTAATAGAGATTTCAAAGCCCTTCTCAATCATCTTTTGGAACAGAACCACTGCCTTATGCACTGATCCTTTTGCACAATGTGCTTTTATTAGAATGGTGTAATCACATTTCATCAGGCCAACATCTTGGAGTTTAGAAAATAGTTCCTCCGCATCCTTTAGCTCTCCATGTGTACAATAACCATTAAGGAGAATGTTGTACGTGACACGACTTGGCTGAAGTTCGTGCACCGCCATCTCTTTATATAATTTGCAAGCGCCTTCCATATCGTGAGCTTCACATAAACTTTTAATAATGGTGTTGTAAAAAACTTCATCACGCTGAAAATCATCCGGTAACATAGTCTTTAGTATCTGGACAGACTCATGAATCTGCCTTCTTTTACAGAGGCATTTCATTATCACTGTGTAAGTAACATGAGTTGGTTCTATGCACCTTGCTTTCATTTCGTCTAGCAATTCAAAAACGGTTTGCATTTTCCCTTCTTCACCATAGGCATTCATAAGAGTTGTGTACGTCCTCGCTGATGGTATCAACCCATGTGCACATATAGTGTCAACCCACTTTCTTGCATCATCTAACTTTCTGGCTTTGCAGAACCCATATATTAAGGAATTGAATGTAGCTATGCTTGGGGTTATTCCTTTCCCTGTTATTAGTTCGTATACCTGAACAACCTCACCGATGTCACCAAGTTTTGCATATCCGTCAATCATAATATTAACCAAAAAAATATCATCTATTAAGTTGCAATCTATTAAAGCGTCAAACAGAACTCTTGCCTCATATATGTACCCTTTCTCACAGAAGCTTTTGAGAATAGATCTATGAGCAACAATATTTGGAATAATTCTCTTACAACACATATCTTTGTACAATTGAAAAGCCATATCAACCAATCCTTGCTTACAAAGGCCTTGAATGAGAATCGAGTACATGATATGATCCAGTTTACGACCGCTGCTCTCTATCTCATGGAACAAATTCAAAGCTTCATCTAAATGTCCGCTTTTACACAAACTGCTTAGTAACATGTTGTTTGAGATAGCACTAGCATGGACCCCCTCCTTTGAAAACATCTCCTCTCTCAACTTAATACTCTTCTCATCAATATTACCTTCTTTGCAATATCCACAATTCAACATTGTATATGTGAAAATATCAGGATTCATGCCTTTACGAAGCATTTCATTAATGAACTTCCGGACACCATTCATCATACCAAGCAAATGAAATCCTTTGGCAAGGACGTTATAAGTTTCCAAATCAGGCTCTAAACCATGTTTCTTCATATCATCTATGAACTCCAATGCTTCTTCCATTGCACCCGCCACACTTAATCCGTGAATGAGAATATTGTAACTATATACATTGGGATAAAATCCACACTTAAACATCATACAAAAGAATGACTTAGCAACATCTACAGAACCCATTTTACATGAACTCGACATAAGAGCATTGAAAGACACAACACAAGGCTCAAACTCTCGACATTCAGTCCCTCGGACAAAATTAACTGCTTTTTGAATCAAGAATTGTTTGCACAGACCATCTATAAGAATGGAATTAGTATACTCGCTCGGGTTTATCCCACTGGCTATCATGTCATAGTAAACATCCCAGATGTAATCAGTGTGCCTCAAATTATACAACAAATTATTGTACGTAAATACCGAAGCCTGGATATCGAAATCTTTCATCTTTGCAAAAACAAAGAGAGCATCATCAACCATCTGACAATGGGAATAAGCAGAAACTAGCACATCCCAGACAACATGATTAGAGTCCCATTTCTGAAAGCAAATCAAAAGCAGCTCGCATATCGAATGAGCTGAACCAAAGCCTGATTGGAAATCACAACAAATCTATATAAACAACAAAATGAGCAATGTAAGAAGTACTCCATAGTTACACTATACTATTACTCTCTCCATCCCATATTATTTGCACTAGAATTAGTAAAACTATCATTCTTATTTACGATATCTTAAGGGGCGTGTAAAAGGAAAGTGGACAAGTAATACGAGTCGGAGGGAGTGACAAAATAGAATTTTTAATGCCATAGCAGAGAACACAATACCTTCTTGTTGAACCAAATGTTGTAAATGAATCTTCAAAGCTCTAAACCTCTGTTTTTTAGCCAAAACATGAGCAACAGCAATGTGTGAAGCTCTGGAATGATTAAACCCATAATCATTTCTCAATAAGAAGAAGAACTCAAGGGCAGATTCAGAATTTTCAAAACTCAGTTTCTCAACAATGTCTTCTATTTCCGATGAATTCAGCTCAAAGATTAAAATTTTAAAACACGGGTCACCTCGTAAAAGCTTTGCGGAGCCTTTAGTGCAATGATTTTGGAGAAAAAAGTTGAAGATTCTTGAAACTGCAGCTCTGGTGGTTGTGGTAGTTGGTGGTGGTGGTTCAGGGTGGTCGACGGCGAGGTTAGCGGTAGAGAAAGAGGGTTTAGGGTGGCGGAGAGAGGAGAGTAATCGAGATTTTAGGGGTGATTTAAGGGTTAATCGAAGCATTAGGAGGAGGAGAAGAAAAAAATGGGAGATTTTTACAGAGGTTTAGGGTTTAAGAGAGAAAAAGAGGAATTATTGATTTGTGGAAGAGACAAATGAAACGAAGTCGTTAACCCCATTGCTTTTTTCCGTCTCTCGTTTGGTACGAGGGATAAGATATAACTAATTTTGAAATTAATTTTAAAGTTTATTTTATATTTGATTACGATAAAATTGTCAGATAACTTATAATGTTATTTTTATTCCACGTTAAGAATGAAATAACAATCATGCATAATTATACATAAATATGTTTTTAAACTTGGTTTCAACTGGCATTACGTCTTCCAATTTTGAGTGTGTACAAGTAGACACTTAACTTGTATAAAATCAGAAAAAATAGCTAGCCACATTCATCCTACGTGAAGTCCTACATGACAATTTCATGTCATATGTGACGTTCTATATGTATTATGTCACGTAGTATGTATGTGTCTATTTATTCAACTTTATAAAAGTTTATATCGTGTAAGACTTGTTTAATAGGATAGTGTTCTTATTTAGTTTGCCAAGGTCGAGGTTACTTTTTTTTTTTACTACATAGGGGTTGTAAGGAAGGGAGAAAGGAGGAGGGGATTATGAATTGTGGAATCGAACCATCACCAACGACTAATAAGTTGAAAATTTAGATAACTAATCAATCAATCGAACTACTAAGATTTCTGAGAATAACGCTTTGGTTTTACTAATCTTTGTTAAAAAATCTACTTGCAAGTTGGAAGGGAAAAATCATTTTCCAAAGATAGCACATATAATTACAAAATTACAAAAAGAAAGGATGAGATGTATATATAGAGTGAGTATTAAGTCTTAGCAAATAAAGGCAACCCATTACACTTACATTGAAGTAACATTTGAACTAAAAGAATGGTTAAACTATTAATGTTTTCAAGCTTTATAACTCACTCTTTAACTCTAATTAATTTTCTAAAAAGTATTTTTGGGTGTTTAATATTACATTTACAATATGGATCATATATTATTTGTAGAAGCAAAAAAAAAACACTTCATAGAGGAGGATGGAGACTTAATTTTCATGAAATATTTTAAGATGGATAAGAAAAAAGAAAAAAAAAGTTGAGTCATAAGTTAATAATCTATATTATTACCATTAAGGATTGCGATAGGACGGATAAGATTCTTTACCCTTAACTCTAGGTTTCGAGTTTGAATACTGAGAATTAAAAAAAATCCTGATAGAAAACACTTTCAAAACGGATATCATACACTGAGCGGGAAAAAAAAACTCTCTATTAGTGTAATACGATCCTTTTCTGCCTTGATAGTTTGATATAGAATACTCATAACTTTTTACTTCAACATCGAACTAACAAACAATTTAATTCGTTGGAAACTAGACTTAAAGACCGATAATATAACAATGTAATGCAAAACCTTCTCAAATGTGAACATTTTTCACTAAAAATCTCGAGCTTCTGGAAAGTCTACACTTCTTCAACACTTCAATGCTCAAACTTTCTATTGTCATCAAGTAATATTTTACAATCCACAAACCATTTTCATATCAAATTTGCTTCAATTATAAGTCTAAAAAGTTGCCTCATTATGAGATTCACATTCTACCAACTTCACCTTTTATTAACATTCTTAATTAAATTTTCCATCACTTCAAAATCCAATCTTTATATATTCCAATCATCTTCTCACATATTTACAATCCATAGCCACTTTTAATTTATTTATTTTTTCCAAAAAAATGTCTAAGCAAAGTGTGAGGAAACATCATGCATTAGAGAAACATAGGGAAAAAGAAAAAACAAGAAGCAATAATATTAGTAGTAATTTCTTATTATCCAAACATTGGAAAAAAATTTACCCTATAGGGTTACATAAAACAAGTTCTTCTCTTTCACTTTCTTCACTTTCTTTATCTTTATCACAAACTTCAAATGATTCTTCTATTACTGATTCTTCTTCAATCACTCCATTGGATCAAAAAATCTCTCTAGCACTACGATTAATCGCGTCATCAAGGGAGAAAAAAGAGGGTTCGAGCATGTCCAATAAGAACGTGGCTCGAACGGTTATAAGTCCAACTTGTAACCCTAATCCAAACCCTAGTAGTGAAGAAGAACTCATGAGAAGGTGCAATTGGATTACTAGTACTAGTGGTAAGATTCATAAGTAGCATTTATCTATATTTTATTTACTTTTCTTGAAATATTGCTAATATTTAAAAATGTCTTATAGTAGTTTCAGATTTTCATTTTATATTATGGCGTTTGATTTTTTTTTTCTTGATGTTTGATTGTGGATAGAACTTAAAGAGATGTTATTTTGACTTTATTATATATTAGGAGCATAATATAAGATTATTATGCTATTAAGTTAAATTGACCTATTGATAACATAATCATTATTCATTAATAAAGTTAGGAATTTTGATAGTCAAATTTGAGATTTAATATATTTGTATAACGAGTGATGTTTGACCTATACATATACACAATATAGTTTTGTGATCACGAGGGTGATCAGGGCACACGTAATTCTGTCACTGCATGTAACTCTTTATAGCAAGTCTGATATGATAATCTGAAAAATAAAGTAATAACTTACTAAATTTTCTAGTATTGTGTTGTTTATAGTATTTGGAAGTAGAATTATTTGAATTATTGATAAATTGACACTTAATTTGTACCAAATTATCCTAACATTAATGCCAATTGTAAGATTAATTTTTTTGAATTTGCTATATGCAGATAAGGTTTATGTGCAATTCCATGATGAATGTTGGGGAGTTCCTGTTTATGATGACCAGTAAGTAATAATTTATGATTAATTTTGGAGGCCATTTAATAATACATAAAAGTTTATTAACAAATTAATTAATTAATTAAACAGCCAATTATTCGAGCTTCTTGCATTATGTGGAATGCTTATGGATTTCAATTGGACTGAAATTTTAAAGAGAAGGGAACAAATAAGGTACATAAATTCTCCCCCTTTCAATTTATATAATTGATAGTCTAATGGATTCAGAATTTAAATTTTATGCGCCCGAAAATGTAGCATTTTGAGTTATTGGATCTAAACTAATACTAATATATACATAGTTAGTGAATTTCGTAAGACAACACTACATGTAGTTTAAAATTACTAGATATCACGAATTTGTAGTCGAAATTGTACATCCATCCTAGATTATCTGTATGATTTAACTTGTTTTAGCAAGTTATCTATCTTATTTTTTATTATTGGTTCCACTCATTACTAACAATTATCCGTAGTTTATTTTTGAATGATCTGATAGTATAAAAAATATTTTTTAATGTGTGAATATGTAGAGAAGCATTTGGTGGATTTAATGCAAACCATGTGGCCAAAATGGGGGAGAGTGAGATTGAAGAATTAATCTCAAATACATCACTCAATTTAGCAGAAAGCAGAGTTAGATGCATAGTTGACAATGCCAAATGCATAGTCAAGGCAAGTTCCAACTCCTTTATTATATATATTCAAAAATTCACAAAATAGTCATTGTCATGGAGTTTCAGATTCAACATGTGAAAAAGTCTATGACATGAAAGTGACTATTTTTTCAATTACAAGACCGAAAAGTGACTAGTTCATGGTATTACTATGATATCAATTAGTTGTTAACTGAATTAATTATCATTTTTTTCTCTCATTAATCAATTAACATATGCAGATTGTGAGAGAATATGGATCATTTAGCAGCTACATGTGGAATTATGTGAATTATAAACCTATAATTAACAGATTTAGACATCCAAGAAATGTTCCATTAAGAACACCAAAAGCAGAAACAATTAGCAAAGATTTATTGAAGAAAGGATTTAGATTTGTTGGGCCAGTAATTGTTTATTCATTCATGCAAGCTGCTGGAATGACAATTGATCATTTGGTTGATTGTATTAGGCATAAAGATTGTGTTAATCTTGCTGAAAGACCATGGAGGCATGTATGAGTTTAATTTATTTTAATTATGTATGTTTTTTTTTTCCTTTGGTTTATTTAAGTTGTTTTTTGGCAATTGGTTTTGCTTATAACAACAAATTCAATGTAATCTCACCAGTGGAATAATCTAGAAAGAGTGGTGTGTGCGCAATCTTATTTCTACCTTGTGAATGTAGAAAAGTTGTTTTTAGCACTGGTTTTGTTTATAACAATACATTCTGTGTAATCTTACAAGTGGAGTATGAAGAGAGTGGTGTGTACGCAGTCTTGTTTTTGCCACTGGTTTTGCTTAAAACAATATAATCAGTATAATCTTACGAGTGGAGTCTGGAGAGAGTGGTGTGTACGCAGTCTTGTTTCTGTCTTGTGAATGTAGAGAGGTTGTTTCTGCCACTGGCTTTGCTTGTATGTATCAATTATGAGTTGAATGGTGTATTTATTTCCATGTTTATTTTTAATTAATTATAATTGTACAATGTTTTTTCTTATTACTTGTGAAGATTTATGGTATGTGCTTATAAAGTATATGCATGTTGTGTGTGTTGTATTTTTTTTATATATACATTAGGAAATACCATTTTGGTAAAGCTAATACTTATACCTTGTTTGATCAAGCTTAGTTTTTGTATTTAAAAAAAAATAAATTAAAAAGTTATTTTAGAGAGTTAATAGTCCATTAAAATGATGGGGTTGATATTGTGCATATAGCTGTGGTCCACTGGGCTTAGCCACTTTAATGGGCTTTTATATGGGCCTTACAAAACAAGAGGAAATTGGTACAATTGTATACATACATTATACATATTTTGCTTCTTTTTTTTTTTTCAATTTATTTTGCTAATTGAGGAATAAGATAATGAGATTGAAAATAATAATTTTGGAAAGGAAACTGGTCAATATTCCACTATCCACATATCCTTCTCCACAATACTTTTTCGGTTTACCTCTACCTCTCTTCGTACCCGTCATAGTCAATCTTTCACACCTTCTCACTGGTCGGAATATTTGTGCATCTTTTCTTCACATGCCTGAACTATTCAATTTCTCCTCCCTCATCTTATCCACCACGAAGGTCGCTCTCATTTTGTCATGAATATCTTCGTTTTTAATCATATCCCTTCTAATATACCCACACTTCCATCTTAACCTCATTTCCACTATTTTTATCTTTTGAGTATGTGTGAGTCTTGACCGACCAACACTCAATCTATAGATTCTGATAATTATTTTACAAAACTAACGTCTAAGTCTCAATGACACATTCTTTTTAACACTATTCAAATGGAGTATCCATAAAAAACATGTTTTTTTTGACTGACAAGAATTTGTACTTGACCACAAAACAAAAATAAGCAACATTTTAAATTATGTGTGATAGAGTAATACAATAGAAGAAAATAAAAGTTTTTGGAATTTTTAATAGGTCCAAAGGTCCTATTAGTAGTTCAGTCGATGCTATCAATGTCCTAATTAATTACATTAATTAAGAAGAATTTTATAGTTCAAGACATGACACAAATGATATAATTTTCAAGATAAGCAAGCTTTAGCAAGAATAATATCACCCTAATTTAGTCATGTTCTTGAGAACAACCTTTATTTAATGAAGCAAGTATACAACCTGGACCCCCCACCCTACCCCCACCCCACCCC